TAACATTTCTTAGAAGTTTTAGTAAGTTTTTTTTTGCGTGCTTTATTTCTACATCCTGACAACAGACAGGGCAGGCATTATTATTATATGGATGAGGAAGCAAACTAAAATAGGCAGGGTTGTCTGTAGTTATATAACCGAACAGATGCAGCTGAGTATCTGTCGCCCTGTCTTCTGGGAAGGCTTGAACGTCAGCCACTCAGGAATTATTGGCCTTTTCCACCCCTTAAACTGCTCTGTGTAGGAGATTTGTTTTCATTTGTGTTGTTGCTCAATACTGGAAACAAGGGGACTATGAGACCACTTTCTTTCTTGCCATCAAAATACCTTGTAAGTGAAATCATGTCTTGTTACTCAGGAACAGAAATGTAGCAGGACCTCCATGCCAGCTTGTGGAGGTTGTCAGGGTATGCTTCACAGAGAGAGCTGCACTCCAGGAAAAGAAAGTTCAAAGAAGAGCGTTGTGTAAACGTTTTTATGTTGGTGGTGCTAAAAGGTTTAATTACTTGGGTGACTTGTTAAAGTGAGGGAAGTGAAAAATAGAGTTAAAACTAGCAGGGAATACCCTTCTTCCCTCTCCACTGTTCTCTTCCTAGATCGGACCCATGGATAAACAAAGACTTGATTATCAAGTGTTCTGGCATTTGTTAAATGAAAAGTCTTGTTTTTTATTCTTTCATCTGTTTGTAAATTAAAGACCTAAAAACCACCATCTAGGAAGAAGCATGAGGGCTCATTGCCAGTTCCCATTAGGCCGCTGAAAGCTTGCGAGTGGAATGCATTGCTACCAAAAATATTTGCAGTTTGGGAAAATATGCTTAAATTTGACCTCCTTGACACTCTAGTTTATTGCTCTGGGTTCCTCAGCAGCTGTAAAGACAGATCCAGAAATGTCTCTGTGAGCACTCCTACTCCATCTATGGAATGGTCTTCCCATTGTGAAAACAGATATTTCTGTGAGTTATTTATACTCTTGGTTACTCTGAGCAACAGATCACGGTTTCCCAGAAGCATTGTAGCATGGTATTTTTGGTACGAAAAGGAAGTTCTGAGGTCGAGGGAACTCGTTTCCCAGTTGCTGTGGCATTCTTTGAGTAACAAGACTGGCTTGTTCAGTTACAGAGATATTGACATGTCTGTAATGTGCAAGAGAAACCAGATCCATGTCTGAGTCCCATAAAGCTGAGAGCTCACAAGCAAGTCTGTTGTGCTTCCATTTTAGGGGCCAGGTGATTGAGATTTTTAGAGCAGGTGCTGGAAACCTACCAACCAGGGATGTGATCCTCCTTGGCCTGTGGTCTCAGACTGGATCCCTGCTCCCAAGGCCATCCTGCAGAGAGCAGCCTGTGGTTCTTTTCCATTGGCCAGCTGAGAGTGTGGGAAGCTTGGTGATACACTCTTTCTTCTTCACTAGTGAGTAGGTTGGCTCCACTGAGTGTGGGCTTCCCTCGCTGATGCACCCACTTCTCACTTATTATGGCCCAGGGTCTGTGCTGATCCCGGGGTGCAAGGATGGAAGCAAAAGCCAAGCAAACAGACATTGACAACACGTTTTAACAAGAGGTCCCCATGAGTCAGAGTCCGTTGATGGCAGCTGACAATAGCAGTTGAGTTAAGCATGAGTTTCTTTGGGAACACGTAGGAGAGGAATGTAAGTCAGCCTAGAGGGAGTTGGGAGCTTCCGGGAAGACTTTCTGGAGGAAGTGCTGTTCGATGCTTGAAATATAAGTCATAGTTGGGCAGAACAAGACAAGGACGGTGTTCCAGGTGGCGAAGCTATGTGAGGGGCCCTGGAGAGGTTCATGAGTTTGAGAACTCCTGGAGGGAGAGGAGCGGTAGACTGGAAGATGGGAAACCAACAAGAGGGGAAGGTTAATAATCTCACGTTTAAGAACAACGGTAGTTGTCTCCTGTGTCCGCAGGTGCACACCAGCTCCTGAAAACTAAGTGTTTTAATCCTAGAGCAGCCTTCTGAGGCACAGATAGATACATAGGTCCAAGAAGCTAAGATGCAGCTTCCCCGAGCTTCCACACTTGGCAAATGACTGGGGCCTGGTGAAGCTATATTAGCTCATACTAAGGTATCAACCCTTGATCCTTATAAATATATGTCAAGCTCAAAGGCACTGTGTATCAGTGGGTTAGCAGGCATAGTCTTGACCTATTGGTTTATTGAATTGATGACTTGTCTTAATTATTGTATCACCAACACTGCAGTTAAGAGCTTGATAGATTTGCAAAAAGACATGATTGGTCTGCTGTACCTAAGACCAAACTCTAACTGGCTTTTAACTTGTTTGAATTACTAGCAGCCCTTGTGGGAACAGCAGCCATTAGTTGCAGGAGATATTATTTGACTGGGAGTTTTTAGCAGTTCTTTCCATTTTTAAAATATGTCTTGGAGCTCCTCACACAGATTGTCTAATTTTATTTCCATCTTCACAGCAACCCCTGGAGACAGGCAGTTAGGGAGGTGTTCTCCCCATTTTGTGGTCGTGTCTCAGAGGAGCAGGGTTGTCCGTGGTCACACAATCTGTCTGACAGAAGTTAGACCTGAACTTGGTTGGACGCCAAACCCCATGCTTCTTCCACCGTCTTCCTGTTTCCCCAGTGACTCTCCTCACCGTGGACGGACCCCGTATGTCCTTTTCTCAGCCATGTGACATGTCTGATGGGTCAGGGTGATGAGTGTATTCTGCATGCACACATCTGGTTCTTTCAGCAGATGTTTGCATGTCTACTGTGTGGCAGGCCCCGTTCTGTTCAAAGTAAGGCCAGAGTGTCTGTACGGTCGTAAGTTTAAATACGTAGAGAATTAAAATACAAAGGTGTTTATCTCCACGTGAGGGGTGGACAGTGTTGCTGTGCACCCTTCACGTAATGCTTGTGTTCTGGGGGCGAGTCTGTAACTGTGCTGTCTTCCCCTTTGGACTGTAGACCTCTCTCTCGGGTTCTTCCTGAGTTCCTGCAGCGCCCGTCCCAGTTCCGAGGGCGCAGCATCTCTCCCTCCACACAGTCAGAACGCCATTCCATTACGTTTTATGACTCCTTTCCTTCAACCAGAGCACCTCCCAGACCTTGTTTATCGCAGCTTCTTGCACAGAGCAGAAGGTGCTTGTTGATATAACTAAATGAACAACTAAAGCCAGTGTCCTGCTAGAAGTAGTAAGGGAAACTGGCACTTGCATTGCACTTTATAGAAGTTTAACAGATGCTCTCCAACCACCGTCTCGGTTAATCCTCTCAGCAGCCTGAGGGGAACACTCTTCTGACGACCCACGGGAGAACCCTGGAAGCCGGGGCCGAGGCTGCGCAGCGGAGCCCGCTGCCCCCAGGCCCTGTGGAGGTGTTCGTGGGCTTCAGATACTCCTCCTGGCCCTGCCTGCACTCCATGCGCTTACCTACGCGCTGCCAGGTTCCCATAGTGCTGGCCCAGAGCAGGCGCCTTGCCAGCCTTTTGGGGCTGCCACGAAATTCTTAAACATTGTCAAAGTTATGCCGTTTGTTTTCCCACCCATGATCATCTAACTGGAGCAGGAAGGAAGCCAAAATCATATTTTGGGGAGAAGGGTGCTTTCAACTAAAAACTTTTCTCGAGGAAAATGTCTCCCTTCCTTTTAAAGAAAAAGGGGGCAAAAAGCCTCCCCTACGTCTGTAGTAATGTTTTGCCGACTCAGGGTAATTATGAAATAAATTCTGTCTGTCTTTTCCTGATTTAAAAGGTGATTGCGTGTGTCGGGTTGTATGAGAAACTGCTGCCTGTAGCCTCCAGTCAAGGAGGAATGCATCTGTGAAGCGCCTGAGCAAATTCCCAGATTAGAAGAGGCTCTGGTGTGGCTGATCTCACTCCTTTCATGAGTAATTCGGGGGGTTAGTTACTGCAGTCAGCCAGGAGGCCAGAACGCTGAATGAGCTTCATTATGAGAACTGCAGAGTCACAGGCCTGTAGGAAGGAGCTGCCTGCCACAGTTCAGACGCAGGTTTCAAGGCCCTGTGGGCCGCCAAGGCCCAGGGAGCCCCTGGGGAAGGGGAAGTGAGCCAGTCCAGCTCTGGTTGCTTTCTGAGCTGTTGGAATGATGGCAGGCAGCCAGGACTGAGGAATCGCGTCGCAGTCAGAGGGGCGCCCGCGGTGGTGGCGGCTGCGGCAGTATGTGGGACTTCACGTAGCCTGTCGAGTAGTCAAGGCGAGGGTAAGTCACGGTGTTCCTAACTCTGGCGTTTCCAGTTTAAAGCAAACTGCGTTTTCTGAAGCATTTGTAAACGCTTTGCCTGTTTCCTACTGACTTGTCAGATAAAGTGCCAGTCAGACTGAAAGTTAGTAGGAAGGTTGTGTTGGGCAGTTTAGGGAGATTATTGACCAGATTGCTGATTTGTCACCTAATATGCTGATATATGGTAAAGCAGAGGGTCAGCAAGAAAAAAGAAAGACCCTCTACAAGATGGATCGACACAGTGGCTGCAATGATGGGCTCAAGCACAGCAACGATTGTGAGGATGGCGCAGGACGGGGCAGGGTTTCGTTCTGTTGTACACGGGGTCGCGATGAGTCAGAGCCGACTTGACAGCACCTAAAGGCAACAGCAGTGTGCTGATGTAGGCACATTCTAAGGGTGCCTGTTTTCATGTGGAGAATCTGCATCTTGAGACACATACATGCTTGACGAAGGGTGCCTGGGATTTCTCAGGGCAACTATTGTGCTCATAATAAACTTTGGCATACAAGCGTTTCATCTTGGCTCATCTTTGATTTGCCCCAACTTCTCCTTTTCTTACCAGCTGTCCTTCCTTACCTTATGGCTCTGCTTTCAGTGGACCAGGGCTATTCTAGAATCATTTTGTGAGGACTGGGAAACCTGACCCCTCGTCCCACTGTGTGGAGGATTTGTTCTTTATTGTTTTCACCCACTGCCAGCCAACTGGTGTGCCTGAGATAAGTCGGGTGGGGGCTGTGGGGCCCACTCTGTGTCAGCGCCCCCTAAAACCATGTGTTGTCTCCCTAGCACAATCCTGGAGGAAGAGAAGGTTCAGCAAGAAGAACGCATGAGAATGGAGTCCAGAAGACAGGTCACAGTGTCCTGGGACTCCGGAGGGTCCGATGAAGCACCTCCCAAGGTAGAGAAGGCCCCCGGCCCAACCTCTGGAATTCTCGTACTCACTGTTGAAGCTAATGGTGCAGGCACCTGTTATCTATGCGGAGAAAGCCAAATGTCAGGTTCTTCTGAGAATAACCAGTATAACACCAGCTCGTTGTTTCCTATTTGCTCCTCCTCTGCATGTTACCTTACCTGCACTCATTGCCCTAACTTGCATTTCAGATCTAGTCTCTGTTAAGCTGTGAATGGTTAGATGTGATCTGAAAATGCTCTTCCTTTTCTTCTCTGTCTCTGTCCCGCATGAGCGTCAAATTTTGCATGGCACGCCTGACTTGGAAGAAATCTGTCCTGTGAGTTATGGTTGTTGAAAGCCTCGCTGATGGCCAGGTCAAGGTTAAACCATCACATGGGCTCCAGCTAAGGCACGCAGGCTTTCCGTTGTGCTTTATTTGAAAAGGAGCCGCACTCCACCTGAGCCTATTCCTTGCTGTTGTTTCTGAGAACTCTGGGCACGTGTCTGTCTGTCCTCCTCTTGCCTGTGGTGGTGGCGGGTGCCAGCGTGGGGACGGAGCACCTTGCCCATGCTTCTCTTGCCTTGGTACAGTCTGCCGGCAGCATCCTTAGACCTTGCTGCCCGCTCCGTCTCCGCTCCCTTCCCGGCATCCTCTCAGAGCCTGTCCTGCTACCTGGCCGTGCTGTGTGCCTGGGCTTAGAGTCAGAGTTCTTCACAGCCTTGTGCTTTCAACAAGATGGGTTTTCACACACTGGCTGACTTCCTGTTTCTGGAAAGTAAATAGATAACAGGCTTTTTTGCAGTTACATTTAGTAAAAATTTATTGTGAAGAAACTTTGACAATTATTTACTTTGTTTTCTTAAAATGTTCAGAAATCTGTTAATGCAAAATGTTATTAAGTGCTTTTTTTTAAAACCATAATGCCTGACTTGAAAAATTATATTTTGTGGTCAACATTTTAAACTGTGTAGCAGTAAACATCACCACACATTTAGAGTGAATACGGGTGATTAACCCAGTCCTGCAGAATTTTGGAGGTGAGGGGCTCTGTAGTCATCCTCCTGAGAGAAAAACCAAGGCGCAGAGAAGGAAAACCACATCGTCCTCCCCACGGCCGTCACTTGGGGCTCATTAGTCGTGGGATCAGAGCCTTTCCCTGTCACTGCTCTACTTTAACAACAAAACAATCCTTAGTTACTCGCAGAAAGGAGTATGAACGCCTCAGCCCAGCATCTAAGGCCCTCCACTTACTTCCTGTTTGCAGGTTCACCTGTTTCAGTGGCAATGGCGCGGGTGTCCAGGATCAAGAGGCAGGATAGTCCTGGGCTAATATCTCAGACCATCTCTGCTTAAATGTTTAAATCTCCTTCAGTGTCTGTTTTGTTTGTTTGAGGTGTTTTCAAAGTGTGTGGTGCGGGGCCCTTTTCTATAATTGAAAGTGTTCCACCGGACACCGTGGTTTGTTATTTGAAACAGGTTAGCAAACTACAGCCCGCTGCCTGTTTTTTGTTAACTGAGGTCTTTCTGAAACACAGCCGCACCCATCCGTTTGTGTATTGCCCCTCCTGGTTTCATGCTAAAAGGCAGAGTTGAGTCATTGGTACAGAGACAGTAGGGCCCACAAACCCTAAAACATTTACTATTTGGCCCTTAAAGAAAAAGTTGGGTGACCCCTGGGATAAAAGTTTAATGGCTAGAAAGTCATCTGACGTGGCATAGAGGTAGTACAGGTGCTCGGTGGTTATAAACTGGCTTAGTGCTCCTCCCGAGAGTCAGAATCCAGTCGTGTGTGCGGTGTTTGCTGTCTCAGGCTTCGTCTTAGAGTGGTACTCTGCCTTTCTGGGCGTATCTGAAATGAGCCTGTGGTTTCTGAGGTGGTTGGCCAACGTCTCCTCTCGTGGTCCCTCTGCCTCGTGAAGTGGGGACTCTGCAGATCCTGTGGTTTTGGCAGTCTCCTTCTGTGAAGACTCAAAGCCTTGGAGACCACAGTGGACAGTTCTACTCTGTCCTGTAGGGTCGCGATGAGTCGTGATCGGCTGTACGGCAGTGGGTTTGGATTTTTTTGTTGGTTTGGGTTTTGTGGTTTTTATGATTCTGCCTGTGGTAACTTAGGACAACTAAATTTGCTTACATTTCTTAAATTCAAATAGGAGCTGTAAGGCTTTTGTAGATAATTCCTGCGGGAAATTTCATGTTTAATGGAGCGTAACCGGAGTATTAAAGGGAAATATTTTTCCCTCCCCATTCAGGATTCAAAGTTGAAAAGCTTAGTTATGCTCAGCTAATGTCAAAAAGCATTATAACCATTATAAAAATGTTACTGATCTCTTCATCAGTACTTAATGCCAGCTTTTCACCAAGTCATGAGCTTTGGAGAAGTTGGTCCGAGCAGACCCCCACATGGGAGAAAAGCCCACCTCCCTTCCCCTGCGGCTGTCCTGCAGGTCCTGTTCATCTGGAGCACCTCAGAACACTGGTTCTTGAAGTGTAGCCCTCGGACCGCTGGCGTTCCCCAGGATGTTTCATTGGGTCCAGGAGATCAGAACGATGTCTGTAACAGTCCTGAGATGTTCTCTGTCTTTCCCACTCTGGACGTCCACACTGATTGTGCAGGAGCGATGGCAGGAAGACAGCTCGTACCTTTGAGTATGTCTGTCAAGACTCTGTGTGAGGAAATGAGCTGGGAAGCTGCCTTGACCGGCAGGCACTGAGAACTTAGCCGTTAACAATCACTTCCCATTCCCCCTTCCCTGGTTCTAGGCAACCACTGATCTGCTTTCTGTGAACATTCATATGGATGGAATCCTGCAATATGCGGCCTTTTGTGTCTGGCTTCTTTCACTTAGTAAATCTTTTCAAGGTTCGTGCATGTTGTAGCATGTATCAGAACTTCATTCCTTTTTATGGCTGAGTACTAGTCCATTGTATGGATAGACCATTCATCAATATATTGATGTGCATTTGGATCGTTCACACTGTTTGCCTCTCATTGAATAATGCTCCTGTGAACTCTCACGTGCAAGTTTTTGTGCAGACGTGTTTTTATTTCTCTCAGGTATATTTAGGAGTGGCGTTGCTGGGTTACATGATAACTCCATGTTTGACTTTTTGAGAAACTACTAGACTGTTTTCCGCAGCAACTGCACCATTTTACATTCCCACCAGCAATGTATGAAGGTTTCAATTTCTCCCATCTCCTTGCTAACACTCGTTATTGTCTTTTTTTATTTTAGCCATCCTAGTGAATATGAAGAGGTATCTCACTGTGGTTTTGATTTGCATTTCCTGATGATTAATGATGTTCTGAGCATCTTTTCATGTGCATTTTGGCCATTTATAGATCTTCTTTAGAGAAATGTCTATTCAGATCCTTTGCCCATTTTTTAATTGAGCTGTTTATCTTTTTGTTGTGGAGTTGTAAGAGTTCTTTATAGATTCTAAATACAAGTCCCTTATCAAATATATGATTCACAAATGTTTTCTCCCATTCCGTGAGTTTTCTTGTTGGTGTCCTTTGCACAAAAATCTTAAATTTTGATGAAGTTCAGTTTATTTTTTCTCTGGTTACTTGTACTTTTGGTGTCATAGCTAAGAATCCTAATCTAAGGTCACGAAGGTTTGCTCCTGTGCTTTCTTCTTAGAGTTTTATAGTCTTAACGCTTACGTTTAGGCCTTTGATCCATTCAGCATTAATGTTGCGTATGATGCGAGGGAGGGATCCGACTTCATGCTTTTGCGTGTGGAGATCTGGCTGTCTGGCCGCCATTTGTTGAAGAGACTGTTCTTTCCCATTGAGTTGTCTTGGCACCCTTGTCGAAACTAACATCTTTCACTGTTCTTTCAGCTGAGCTCTGGTAGAGAAATACCTTTTTCTGTTCTTTTCAATAAAACATAGATTTACCAAAATAAAGTACTCATTCATCTGGTACTCTGTTGATTTGTTCACAGCCCAGCAGACCTGGTTATCCCAGTCCGAGGTCAAGTGAAGGATTTTATCCCAGCCCACAGCACATGGTACAAACCAATCATTACCAGGTATACCAATCATTGCAAATGCAAAACATATTATTTTATTCTTTGGCACTTTTGGGGGGGGTACTGTGTATATGTTTATTATTTTTATTTATGTTCTTTTGAGTGTAATTTGGTAAACAAAAAGCTAAGAAAAGTAGTCTTGACCTAACAGTTGTCTGAGTGAACGTTGTCTCAATGAACCTGTGTCAAGGACTTTAATCCGTCACTCTGTCTTAATGCAATTGGTCCAGGTGTCCTATCTCCAAAAGCTCTTAGATCCGCCTTCTCCTACCTGCTCTGGTAAGGTGAAAGCAGGGTGAACCTAGTAGGTACATTCTATTTAGAGGTAACGCCAAACTGGGTGGTTTTTCTGAAAAAAATTCAAAATTTTCTCACAGAAACCAGGTGAGAGTCCAGATGGGCAAGTGTGGAAGGAGGGAATGTTAGACTTGTAGGCAAGTGACGTGTGCGCGTTAGAAAAGAAAGATTACTCATGAAAGAGAAGGAGCAGATGCAGAGTCAGTAATGGGGTGGTGGGGGGTTGTTTGTTTGGAGAGAAGTTGTTAGCTTCTATTGATGTATGATTTACTTACAGTGAAATGCCAGATCTTAGTTATGACAAACGTGTACGCCAGTGTATCCCACGCCCCCATCGAGATGTAGAACGTTTCTATAAGCCCAAAAAGTTCCCTCCTGCCCTCTCCCCAGTCAGTCCTCTACTACCCTAGAAACAACTGCTCTTCTGAGTTCTGTCGCCGGGGATTAGTTGTGCCTGTGCTGGAATTCCTTATGAACGGTACATACAGTGTGCACGCTTGTATTCAGCATCTTACGCTCATTGGGGTGCCTTTGAGGGTCAGAAGTCCTGGGGGGTGTCAGTAGTTTGTTCCTTTTTACTACTGAAAAGCATTCCATTGTAGGACTCTGCCACAGTGTGTTTACCCAGAATAGTGTTTTGTGTGGTCTTTAAAAAGATGAGCAGAGGAATCTGTCAAATGATCCCCAGGAAACAGAATAACACCCTGCAGTTGGTATTGGTCTGTCTGTCTTGTAGCAGCACCCTGTCTGTAACAGGGCTCCGTAAGGTATTTACAGCTGGCTGACTGTGATAGTTGTGGTGACGAGCCTTTAATAGAAGGTGGTTAATTGGTAGGAATTCGATGAAGAATAGCTAAAAACAAAATAAAAGCCAAAAGAAATTTTAAAAAATGATCCTCGAAATTTTTCCCTGGAGAGGAAAAAGCCAACAGTTCACTTAACCAGGTGTCTTCCTTGCCATGGTTTTCTGAGTTTACTGGGGGGGGGGGGTACTCATTCCTTTTCTGCCTCCTTCACAGAGTTAGGGAAGGCCACATGAGCACATTTGTATTCCTTTAACTGCCTCTGAAATGTTGAGTTCAGTGTTAAGGCAGTTTGCATCGATGTGAGCAGAAAGCCTTAACTGTTGGTACTAGGCTGCCAAGAAAAAATGTGGGCCCTGCTTGTTATTAGAAAAGGAAAGACCACATGTCCGTGGCGGTTTCAGCCAGTGAACCTGGGTCGGTTTCAGCTCTGCCTACTGCCTCCCGATTCCGGTGTGCTCATTCTCAAGGGGAGCCCAGGAATAGTACCTTTCTACCAAGCCGTCAGGTGATTGTTGTGCAGATGATCCAGAACCATGTTTTGGGAGACACCGTTCTGAGCCACGCGTCTGCCTGGAGGGAGGGGGCGAGTCATCTGGGTCTCTGGGGCACTTACTCAGCGGGCAGGCACCAGTATCTGTCCTCCATGCCCAGCACTGTACTGGGCTCTTTCAGCAGAGATGACAAAGACACTCCCCTCCCTCAAGGGAGGTGCTCATTAGACTCTTTTACTCATTGTGAAGGAAGTGAACGGCCCTTCCACCTCAGTGAGTCTAGATTACCACTTCCCCCGCGGCCAAGTCCATCACCGCCATGATGGATGAAGCCCTGACCCAGAGGCCTACTGAAAAGAAGACCCATAGCTGCAGTTCTTGAGACCTGGACCTCTATCAGACAGCAGGGGACGTGGGTCCCAGGACAACCCTGGCCGTGCCTGGCAGTGCAGAAGGCAGAGCTCAGTGGCACTGAGAGGAGCCTGATACCAGAATCATTCCAGCACAAACATGGTGGTGCTCTGCTTCCTGAGACAGGCCGTGAACAGAGAAAGCTTGTTATCCCTGCAGGCCAGGCCCCCTGGTGGGGTTTGGCATGTTGCTGTGGCAAGTCAGTCCCAAGCACCTTCATGACCTGGGGCTGTGGTCCCACGTGTGGTGTGCGGCCCCCACTGGAATGGAAGGCCTGAGAGCAGGGCTTGTCTCTCTCTCGTTAGTGCCTGGAAACTGTGCAGATGAGAGTAGGGTGCAGCGAGAGAATAAAAACATTTGTTTGTCCACGCTAGAAGTTTCCTCATCTTGAAAGTGAGACCAACTACAGGAGGTTTCTTGGAATCATTTTATGTTCCTTTTTGGCCCAAAATGCCTATTTAACCCTTTCATGTAGTTGGTGTTATTTAGAAAACTGCCTTAACTCACTTGAAACCTCTTTTATGAAAATTCCCAGAAGTTCTCTGGCAGTACTATGACCCTTCTGATCACCAATAGTTAGGATAGAGTGTTTTGCATTTGGTTTTTCATTATTAAAATACTTTCATTCAAGTAAACTGTGAGAACTCCCCGTACATTATATTTGAAAGTGTGTTAATTATACATAGTATAGAATTTTGGTATAAATCAATGCCTAGAGACCTAACACGCACAAAACCTTCATTGAAGGGTGTGTAGATATGTGTTAGGACCATTTGGGAACTGTAATTTGGATGTGCTTTATCTCGTTAAAAAATTACCTGGGAATCCTGGCCATGTAGCGCCAGCCTAATGAGCTGCGGAGACAAGTGCTGATTCTGTTGTCTTTCTGTTGACTGAGGGAGGGAGTTGTATAAAGACATCCCTCTTATTTTCCTTCTGCCTTGACATTTTCCTCCATGTCCTACTCAGTGTCTTTTCCCTGCCTTATTCACCCTTGTTAGAACTTGAAGGTGTGACTTGAAGGTGGAGTTATCTGCCTCCCCTTCTCCCAGTCAGCCCCTGGTTTGCTAGAGAACAAAGACTGGGCTCTTGTCTGCTCTTGTTGGGGGTAGTGAGCGGTAGGTTAGGCAGGAAAGGAGAGTTCAGAGCAGGCATGGCTGAGCCGCTGTTACGGCCTCCTTTGGCTTTTGCATCCAAGGATGGTCTGCCCAACATTGTGGTGAGTGTTTGTGAAATTCCAAAATTACTGCTGATTCCCTAGTATGTGTTAGTTGTCTGTTGCGACTGTAACAGTTGCCACTAACTTAGTGGCTTAAAACAGCACAAGTTTTTTTGTCTTAAGTTCTGTAGGTCAGAAGTCCAGCACCTGTCTCCCTGGAGTAAAATCAAGGTGTTGGGGGGCTGCCTTCCTTTCTAGAGGCCACTGAGGTTCCTTGGCTTGTGGCTCCTTCATCCACCTTCAAATCCAGCAGCGTAGCTTGTCTGACCATTCTTCCATAGTCACGTCTCTCTCCCTCTCTCTCCTCTTCTGCCTCCCTCTTCCACTTTTAAGGATCCTTGTGATTACATTAGACCACCCAGATAATCCAGGATAATCTCCCCGTGGCTAGGTCCTTAACTTGATCACATCTGCAAAGTTCCTTGTACCACGTAAGGTAACGTATTCATAGGATCTGGGGATTAGGATGTGGATGTCTTTGCCGGCTCGTTACTCTGCCTGCCACAATATTTTCTGTTATTTTCATGTGTAAAGCAGAGCTGTGCAGAAATCTGCTTGTGTCAGAGTATTACCCAGCCTCCCACCCGTTCACAGGTCTCTGGCTACCCTGGCTCCCATGGAATCACAGCCATGGCTGGCAGCATCTACCCAGGCCAGGCCTCTCTTCTGGACCAGACAGACTCCTGGAATCACAGAGCTCAGGAGATACCAATGTGGCAGCCCAACATGGAGGTGAGTTGGTGTTCTTGAGCTTCGGTTTGTTAACTGGTACTGCTTGGCCCAAGGTACCTTTTATTTCTAAAATCCTAAGATTCCTTGATTTTGATGACTAAATTCTAAGATCAAGATAACCCATTTACTCGATGCTTTCTGGTTTCGTGAATATGTTTTTACTAAAAGAAGTACCCAAGGAGAGGTGTTGAAATCATTAGCCCATTCATTTGAAAGGCAGAGTCCTAAGCTGAACACAATTAGCGTGTACATGAGGCCAAAGAAGAAATGGGAAAACAGAGCCTCCAGCTCTATGGACCATGTTAAGTTTTACTAAATTTTCCTAGTAAAGCCAAGAATCATCAACTACTCCTATAAGACTGAAAATTCTTTCTCTGAATCAAAGAGCATCTGTAGTTGTCTGCCATGCATGCTCTTCTCCTTAGAGTAACTGTTTAATGACTGCTTCAGACTCCATAGTGTGTGTCATATTTAATCCTTCTTCTATAATTTTACTTCTAGACTACTTCTGCTTTTTTACTCTTAGTGATAATGCTTTCTTTACACATATCTTTGACTATTTATTTAAACTCCTAAAAGTGGATCTGTGAACTAAACATTGCATACTTTTTAAAGATGCTCGGCACATGTTACTAAATTGCAACCTCCCAAAGAGTTGTTCCCCCAGCCAGTACGAGAGACCCTATTCCTGCCACCCTTGCTAGTTTGCTTAATTTTTTTGAAAGACACAGAAAGATGTTAGTGCATCATGAACAGGCTTCTGAAAGTGATGTGGTGTTTTTACTCTTCTGTAGGACTCTGCAGCATTAGACATGCGAGGAATTGGGCAGGTACTGCCAGCCCACCTGATGGAAGAGCGGCTGATCCGACAGCAACAGGAAATGGAAGAAGATCAGCGCTGGTTGGAGAAAGAGGAGAGATTCCTGGTAATTGTGTCCCTGAAATGTTTCTCCCACTTCATAAGCCCTGTTATGATCTGCTATCTGGCCAGTGACTGCAAAAGTTCATCCTTTCCAAGGCAGGAGAGTTAGTGTTAACATCTGGACCTTAAAACTTGCAATAATAGGTTCAAAAATCCTGTTACTAAGGATTATAATAACGGGTTTAAGCATAGCAACATTTCGTTCTGGTGTACATAGGGTCGCTATAAGTCGGAACTGACTTGATGGCACCTAACAACAACAAGGATTAAGTTACTAAGTAAACTCTGTATTGAATAGTATAAATCATATAAAAAAATCTCTCCCTGCAGTTTAATCCCATTTTCGTATTTGAGCAGTAGAGAACAGAGAGTGATGGCTGGGAATTTAAATGCTGGTTCTGCCACTGACTAGCTGTGTGACCTTGGGAAAATTCTGTGATCTTTCTGTGCCTCCACTACCTCTTCTTTAAAGCAGGGAAAGTGATAGCACCTGTTATATGTGGTGATTAAGAGGATTAAGGTAGATAATCCATGTAAAGGGTTTAGAACATGACCTGAAACAAGGTAAGCATTCGGTTCCTGCTAGCTTTTTTTTCTTTTTTTTTTTTTAATTCAAAAGCCAGTATAAAAGCTACCTTAAGACTCCTTTAGCCTTTCATTCTGAATTTTTTCTAACATGGAGAAAAGTTGCTCTTTGGTGGCTAACAGTTTGACTAAACGGTGGTTAACTTTTTGCCATCCTTGCTTCACCTGTGTCTGTGGGGTACGTGTCGTTGGTCTGTTGCTCAACCACTGCCAAATGATGGCCCTTGGTCCCGTGATATTTCGTTGTGCATCTCCTAAAAGTAAGAGCATTCTACATAACCACATTGTTGCTGTATTGGGAATATTTTTAAATAATTAAATCTAATTAGCTAATCCCACGACTTGAACACAAAAACCCCACTGTTTATGCTGCCTTCTAGCCCTTTCTGCCCTGGAGACAACGTCTGTAACATGTTGTTTTCTGGTTTCCGTTTGTATCATCTTTTCCCGGTTTCTCCAGAATCTTGATAATCACTTTTCTAAACAACATCTTCCATCATTGCGAATGACTTCTGACCTCAACTGCCTGGAGTTGGGCCAAATTCACAGGCTGAGAGCACAGTCCCTACAAGATTGCCCTCCCTCAGCTACCAGCCACAAGCTCAGGGCTCCCAGGGCTACCCGCATTTCGATTACAGCTTTATTACTGCAAAAGGATACAAATCAGAACCAGCCAAAAGGGGAGACATGAGTGAGGTCTGAGAGGGCCCTGAACAGGGAGCTTCCCTGTCCCCAGGGATGTGTCACGTTCCCTGTATATCAATGTGCACAGAATATCATCCATTAGGAAAGCTCCCCTGAGTTTCCAAGACCAGGGTTGTTATTGGGGTCTCGTTATGTAGGTGTGATTGGTTGAATCATTAGTCTGTGATTGAACTCAGTCTCTAGCACTCTCCCCCTCCACCCCCAACATGAGTCACCTCATTAGCTTAAACGCATAGGTGTGACCCAAAGGGCCATCATGAGTAACAGACACTCTAGTCATTTGGGAAATCCCAAGGGTTTGGAGGTTAATTCCCAGGAACCTGGGACAAAGTCCAGACAAACTCTCTGGGTAAAGTTAATTCTTCACTCCACAGTCATGTTGCTATCTCAACATTTATTAAAGTGTTTCCCTTGTTTCAGGTTGTTTCCAGTTTTTGCTTTTATAAATAATGCCATAATAAGTCATATCTCCGCTGATGTGACTGTTTGCTTTTCTTGATTTATTTCTTTGGGATGAATTTCTGAGGTTCTGGGAGCAGCATTCCTGGTTCAGAGCATTGCGGGGGCTTTAGCATGACTGCAGTGTGTCCGCAGAACCGGCTGCTGCGTAGTGTCAGCTTGCCATGGAACACGGCACCCTGCTACTGCAGGCCACCCCGCAGGACAGTGAGGGATCCCAGGACTCACCTTCCACACATTCCTCTAGCTCCGTCTGCCTCCTGGTACAAACCTCCCTCCCAGGCGTGTCTGGAGTTGTGGAAGAGAAACAACTTCCTTCAGGCCAGCTCCCTTCAGAAGCCCAGTGGGGACAGAGAGGAAGTAGAGGGCGCCTTTGGAACAAAAGTTTCACACTGTGCTTTCAAAATTCTAAATAAATTAAGGCAAATCTTGAGATTGCAAGGCAGGCTGTCAAACTGGTTGTTACTTACTAAAGATCTGGGTGAATCAGCTTGACTAGTGAATCCATTCTAAGAGCACAGTTGTCGTTCCCTAATCATACATTTATTTTTTCATGCAAATAGCTTCCTTTCCCTCATTGATTTGTGTTTTAAAAAGTCAGTGTCACACATTTTCCCAAGTAGAGTTAACGCGTGTAAATACTGGTGTTCTGTGCACAATTGCATTTGAACAAAGGGCTCACTACCAAAGACTGGCATGCCATTCAGTGGCGTTGCTGCTGAAGCGCAGAGCAGTGAGCATAAGGAGCCCGCGTGTGCCTGGGAGCCAGGGAGGGCCTCACAGTCGAGATCACGTCTGCGCCAAGGCTTAAAGGGTAAATTGGAACTTGCTAGGCAAACAGACTCAGGAAATGCATTCCAGGCCACAGGAACAGAGTGTGCGATGACCTGGGGTCGTAGGCTGTTGTGAGAAGCACACAGCTGGAGCGGACTGGCAGAGCATGTCGGTGGGGTTCACGCACCCCTCCACCTCTGAGTGATTCAAGTATTCCAAATAAAAGGTTCAAGATACGTGTTTATTCTGCCGGCTGGTCAGATGTTGGTTTTTTTTTTTTTTTTTTAAATTGAGATAACTTACATACAGTGAAATGCACAGATCTTAAGTATAGAGTTTGATGAGTTTTGGCCCATGTAACCATACCCCATCGAAACCTAGAACATCTTCATCACTCCAAACAGCTTCCTTTTCCAGTCAATGCCCCCCACAACCCTGAGTCTCTGTTATAATTCCTATCACTGTAGATAGTTTTGCTTGTTCTTGAACATCATCTAAATCAGTCACGCAGTATGTACTGTTTCGTGCCTGGCTTCATTCGTTCAGCCTGTTTTGAGATTTTGTCCTGTTGTGTGTGTATCAATAGTTCGTTCCTCTTGTTGCCGGTAGTGTTTCATTGTGTGAACTGACGGTGCCAGTGGGCCTGCAGGGATCTCATTGTGATTTCAGTTTGCATTTCCCTGATGACTCGTGATGTAGAGTGCTCTTTCTTTTGCTTGTTGGCTATTTATGCATTGTCCTTTGTGAAGTGTCTGTTCAGGTCTTGCCTGTGTTTTACTTGGGTAAAACTAAAACCAAACCCATTGCCATTGAGTCGATTCCAACTCATAGTGACCCTGTAGGGCAGAGTAGAACTGCCCCATAGGGTTTCCAGGGAGCGGCTGGTGGATTTGAACTGCCAACCTTTTGGTTAGCAGCCAAGCTCTTAACCACTGTGCCACAGGGCATTTTACATGGGTTGTTTCTCTTTTAAATGACTGAGTTTAAGTAACTGTGTATATATTCTGGGTACAAATCCTTTGTCATACATGTGGGGTGGGGGCATGTTGATTTTTTTCAGCAGGCTCTTTTATCTTTCACTCCATCTGATCACCATAGCAACTGTGTGAGAGCTGCATTGATGAGAATCTTCCAGAGCCTGGATCTTACAGTCTCACATTACAGAAAGTTCCAGAGGATGGTCCCAGCCCTTACGGAAGCTCTTTTGTCCCACACGCCCTTCTCTTATTCCCAGTTCAGAGCATGGCCTTTCTGAGGTAGCTTGGTGCCTGCAAATCCAACTGCTGTAAAAGCTCCTTGCAGGCTGACACGTTTGTGAGAGGGCGCCGACAGCCTTGGTTAAAACTTAAGTCTGTTTGGAGAGCTTTCTGCCTACTGGTCACTGCTTAAAGATAGAACCCTCTGTGGCTAGCTTCATCTTACTACTGTGTGCGCAGAAGTTTCTTAATGTGGTAATGTACTAAAAACAGGATTTTAATTTTAAAATGAGAAAGTCCTATCTATATAAACCCTACTTTGTGTCCTGAGAAAGGAAATCAATAGGAGCTTTTTTTCCTCATAAAACAGACACAGCCCATCTGAGCGGAAGATGAACGCTGCAGAAAGGGATTAAGGCACAGTGGGAAGGCAGCGGTCAGAGACTGGATCCTGTTCTCACCTTTGCTGCTGAGCGAGGTCACATCCCTCCTGGTTTTGCCCCTTATAGCATATCCCAGACTTGAGGACAGGCTGGTCCAGTGAGAGGAGAAAGGACTTTGGGTTAAAAGTCTTAAGTTTGAGGTCTTCTCGATTGGCCGCAACTTGAGAGTCAGGACCTCACCTGGGCTGTTCATTGCTATTTGCCCAGAACCTAGAGTCGTGCCTCAGAGGGCAGGGGTGACGGGGGTGCTATCCTCTGCTCCCGTGGGACTGTGACTAAGCCAAACACACTTACCACATGACCCAGCCAAAGATTATGGGGTACTGTGTCACGGAGCGTTACTGTGGTAGCCAAGAACTGAAAACAACCCACTTGCCCATTAATAGTAAAATGGGTAAATACTCATACAATGGAGTACTAAACAACGATAAAAAAGGAGAAACTACTGCCATGCGCAGCCGCCAGGAGGAATCTGAGGGCGTCAAGTTACACAGAAGATGCCAGACACAAGAGTTGGTGTGATCCACCACAGCACAACAGGGGTTCCTCTGGCGGGTTTGTGTAGGTACGCGGGGCCTGCTGGGTTGCCAGTAATGCTGTGTATCTCGTTCCGGATGATATGGTAGGCAGGTGTGCACATATACAGTAAAACTGCGGAAGCTGGGACCTGTGTAAGGCAGAAACCTGTCAGAGAAGGAAAACGCAAATATTTTCCACAAAAGAGGGAACAATAGAAAAGTGGTGACTGTACCCTGTCAAAGGCGGAAAACTGGTGAGACCTGGAAAAACAAGACAGTCCCGTTGAGTCCCAGCTCTCCCAGGCTTCACTGTGAAAAGAAACGGGTTGCACTTACTCTTCAGGTTTCTGCACTCAGTCGTACTCAGTTAAACCGAATACAAGAAACACATGCCTGATGGGGGGAAAAAGAAATCAAACTGCCCCAAACGTTTGTTGTCTGTGATCCGTTTGTACAAGATTTTAAAAGTAAATTGCCTTATTTTCTCTTTAATGCACAGTCTTCAGATCTAGAATAGTCTGTAAGGGGGTAAGGAGGACTCGGTGTCAGCTGAGCAGACACAAGAGTAGACACTTCTGATGGACGCCTTGCCGTTGTCGCTCTTCTGTCTCCGACTGGCATTCATCCTTCATCCGCACGGGCTGTGTCTGCTGTCTGAGGCTAAAAAAGCTCCAATAGTTATTTCCATTCAGAGAACACAAGTGGACTTTCTGTAGATAGGCCTTTCTAGTTTTAAAATTAAAATACTGTCTTCAGGGAAGTATGACATTAGGGAATTATTGTGCATGAAGAAATAAGAGTAAATCATTTCATGTGATTTTTATGGGAATAAAAATAGATGATTCACGTATATATATGACACACAGTAGCTTACTCTCTTATGCAAACAGTAAATGTGAGCTGCTGTTTTTGTTGAAGTAAATACGCTATTTCCTGCACACAGAAGGCACACACTGTAATTACTGGCTGGCTGAACCCACCTCTAGAGCTGGGTTGTCCCAAGCAGCTAGTTCTCCCTTCCTGAGCATCAAATTCCTCATCTGTAAGTAGCTCTTCTGCCTTGCAGTTCTATTTAAGCATTGCTTCAGCAAATTGTCGTTGATCATCTAGGATGTGTAAAAGTCTTTCATGACCTTGAGATTTGTGGTCTGTGACTTGTCCGTCTGAAGTCTTCACCTTCTCAGGCTGATTTTCGCAAAGCCCGTTGTGTTTTGGAGTCTTCGTCTTAACTGCACCTGGCGCGTCGAGTGCCCGCGAGTTGCACAAAGCTGGCGCTTTGTTCAGGCGATGGCAGAAACCCAGCCTCCACGGGGCCGGGGCGGAGAAGTCCTGCTGGCTCAGGATTCCTGTGTGTGTACCCAGCTTCCTTTCTGTCTCTTCCTGCCTGTGTTAGCTGGCAGAGAGGTTTCTAGCCTTGAGGGTGGGGACTGTTGACCTCTCTGAATTTTCTGACCTGCTCACTGCACTGCCCTGGAGCTGACTGGTCTCCCCGAGTTTGACTTCCCGTGTGTGGGCACAGGACACCTGCCACGAGAAATTCGTTTTCTGATAGTATAATGCTTGTAAACACCGCACATGTTTTATCCTTTAGGGTTTTAAAAAGCATGTTCTTCAGAGTTCAGAAAATTTTCTCTATTAACAGTCCTTGCTCTCAGAGCTCTCCATTCCGTTGTTACTAGAGTGCCTCTGGTTGTTAGAAAGATTTTTCGTAAATGATCCAGAATACCCCCCGCCTCCCGTATTCCAGGGCAGCACAAGTCACCACCCTTGGCCACAGGCAGCCCTGAGGGTCATGACAACTCTTAACCCGCGTCCTCTGCAGATGAAGTAGCTCCCTCACCCTATCCTTATAAGACCTGGTTTCCAGATGTCAACACACACTGGGGGCCCCCTACAGTCCAGGCAGCTTGCAGTGCCCAAAAGGGAAAGGAGAGAAGTAGGCAGGGAGATGGGGCCCCTGTCCTACAAGGGGATTCGTCTCAGAGCATTCAACAGATCACCCAGATGTTAACGTTGTCTGTGTCCTTGGTCATCTTCCCGCGACAGCCTGGCCCCCAGAACTGACCTCGTGCCCACGTGGTTCTCAGGAGTGGAAGGAGGTTCCAGGCCTTGCAAGCCAAGATGAGATATTTGTACTCCTTTTAGACCCAGGAGAAACAGTCAGGATTTGGGAGCTCGGATGACAAAAAGTGAAAACAATGCTTTAGCTTGAGATGGCTGAGGCCAGAGAGGAAGCCTGTCCCGTGGGCAAGGATGTGGGCCACGGCAGTGGACCTGGGACAGGGCAAACGGAGCTTACTCGTCCGTCACCACCATCACGTTTGTGGATTGTGTGCTGGCTCAGGCCCTGGTCGGGTACAGGAAGTGCAGAGTCGAGCAGGGCATCAGGTTCTTGTCTGACAAGGGAGGTGGCTGCTGCAGACCCGGCTGACACAGGAGCGCCGTGAGGCCCAGTGAGCAAGCCTCGGGGAGGGCTGTGGCTGAGCTTGAGGGACACATGGACGCTTTCCAGGTGGAAGTGAGTGAACACTCAAGCGTGGACGAAGGGGAAGCTGAGGGCAGTGTGGCTGGAGGAGCTCCCCTGGACCTAGGACTGTGGGCATGGATTTTGGGGATGGCCTGGGGACACTGCACAGTCTATGTATAAGGAAAAACCCGCCTACCCAGCACCTTCACCATAACATGTCAGTTACTTTACTTTGATATTAGTGAAATTGTGAACTCTTCATTTATATGAAATCCAGACTGGTCTGTCTGGCTTCTGTGTTCTGGATGCATTGGGGGGCATCACATAACGGGACCCATCTGCAGCTTGGGAGAGGCCCCCACACTCTGCCGCTCGGCCAGGAATCTGTAGCGCACCGAGCATGTTTCCCCCGGGCTGGGGTTTCTCTCAGTCAGGAAGAAAGCCGGCCCCCCTGCCGTGAAGAGGGGTGAGCACAGGTGCTCAGAGCTGTGTTGGGGAGCAGTGGTGTAGCTGCTTGTGTGTGCCTGGTGAGGGGTGCTGGGAAGGGCTCATCCCATGGCAGTGTGTGGGCTCTGTCCAGCCTGGGTCTGAGGGTTCTGAAAGTGGGGGCTTTTCGATTCCTCTTAGAGGATGGTTGTGCTAATCCAGAATGTTCTGTGACCTCAAACCAAACGGAAACTCCTGTGTGTGCTTGCTCCTCCAGAAGCCGGATGTGAGGCTCTCCCGGGGCAGCGTCGACAGGGACGACGGAGGTCTCCAGGGCCCGGTGAGCAGATTCTCAGGCGTGGACCATCGCTCTTACATCATGAGACATGCAGGCTTGTTAATATCTGTAATGTGGAATGGAGTCCTCCATTCTGTCAGTAAGATGAACATTTTAGCCAAGATGATTGAAATGCTTGTTCGGGTCCAGCAGCTTTCTCTCCCAGTCTGACGTGGTCTTTCCAGTAAGCAGAACACTCTGGCCCTGAAGGAGTCTGTATGCGTGTTAGCCGCCGACCCACACAGGTGGTCATTCACTGAAATTTTATGCGGTTATTGCATGGTGAGAAAAGTTTCCACAGTCACGTAAAACTTGTTCAAGCAAGAATTTTTTTTCTTCAGGTGTTGTGGGGGGAAATGCCTGACATTTTCTTTGAAGAGCTAGCTCATGATTATCCCAAGTATTTTTTTTTGTTGTTGTTGTTGAGAATATACACAACAGAACATATACCAGTTCAGCAGTTTCTGTGTGTACCATTTAGTGAATATACACAACAGAACATACACCAGTTCAACAGTTTCTATGTGTACCATTTAGTGAATATACACAACAGAACATACACCAGTTCAGC